ATGTGGGTTTGTATAAAGTCATCACTTTGGAATATTTCTTCAGAGTGAGGGTGTCTTTACCGGCAGAGAAACACACAGTGGTTCCTTTTAACTGAAATGCTTTTTCTAGCAACGAAACACCGGTTTCACTGGCTTTAGGGAGGGAAGGGGCCAACAAATCTGGCTCTTGCCGTGGCAGAAATGAGCCGGGTTCGCCTCTCTCTATGAAGGATGATTGGAAACGTGAATCTCTTTCCACCCGCTGGCATCGCACCTTTTTCAATGCAGTTCAACCTGAACTAAAAAACTATCTTGGGAACAAAATTAACTTGCTAAATTCACCCGTCACCACGTAGACTATATCCTTTCGGCATACTCAGCCACTTCTCCCTCGCCACGGTTAAGGATTGTACTATGAACATGAGTTTATCTAAGAATGCCCAGGTGTGCTCGCCTTTGGGGGCATGGGACGAGGACGCCTCCATTTGGAGAAGGGGTATTGAATTTCCTAGTCTTCTTCCAAATAATCCACACTCGGACCTGATTGGTAAGTCTGCAGAGTAGATGTGGAAGCAAAGAAGGCAGCGAGCTTGTTATGGTCCCCGCTCAGGAGAGCCCTCACAGAGAGTTAGATATGGGTTCTAACCCGCTATCTACTATTCCCTGTGGGGCTTTTGCTCTCACTCCAAAGTTCTGAGCCTCAAATTCCTCCACAAGAAGACATCTCTTCACCCATCTTCCAGGGTCCTTTTGCAGCACGTAAGAGGTGAGGGGTAGGCAACGTGACCAAGAGTACGTGTATATCCACAGTGCCTGGCGTATATCTTACCAGTATCTGCTAAAACTTGAACACACCCCTAGCTGGGCACCCAAGCTGGATCTGTTTTACAAAGCACGGATGAGAGTCATGACCAGGGAGAAAGCTGGAATGACTGAAGGGCCCTTCATTCAGGGCATATAAGGAGGATTAAGTATCTCTAAGAAATCTACAGGTCATTCCTCCCTGTCAGAGCAACAAGGACTTCTTGCTCATTACAGTGTGTTTAGGATGACCTGTCTCGAATTTCTGTACAGCTTAGAACATGTGTTGGGCTAATTATCTAGGTCTCTAATAGTAGAAGCATCTTCCCAAGATAAGTTCTACCCCTAACAGAGTAAATTAGGGTGAGGGATCGTGGCGTGCACAGTTATATATTCCACACCGTCACTCTCCTCAACTTGGAAACACCTGCTTGTAATCCCGGGGCATGTACCTAAATTTGGT